TCTCCTTACTAGTTATAGGTCTCTTCAGATTTTCTAATCGTCATGATTTTTTTTTGTCTTGGTAGGTTTGTGTTTCTAGGAATTTGTCCATTTCATCTAGGCTATCCAATTTGTTGGCACACAATTATTCATAATTATAATCCTTTTTATTTTATTATTATTTTTAGATATATTATACATATTATTTATTAGAAGGAGTAATATCACTATTTTTTTAGATATATAGTATATATTATTATTTATTAGAATAGGTAGTAATGTCACTTTCATTTCTGGTTTTAGTAATTTGAGTCTTCTCTCTTCTTTATAGTCCATCTAGCTAAAGGTTGGTCAATTTTTGTTAATCTTTTTGAAGAAACAATTTTTGGTTTCATTGATTTTCTCTATTGTCTTTCTATGCTCTATTTCATAGATTTCTGCTTTTTTTAATTATTATTTTTTTAATCCATGGGCTAGAGTGAAGGAAAAAGAAAGACCCAAAGAGGAAGAAACAGCTTGATCTTTCTTGTTCAGGTTTCAGCTTCCCTGTGAAGGGGCCTTCCTGCACCCTCCGCCTTCCTGCACCCTCCAACTCAATATCACATTGTTCTCTCTCACTACTCTCTCTTGTTCTAGTCATAATGAATAGTCTCACTTGTGTAAGTTGTTTATTGTCCAACTTTCTCACAAGATGGTAGGTTTCAAAACAGCAGGGAGCTGTATATCTAGTCTCCAGAATAATGTGTGCTATATCTTAGGCACTCAAAAATATTGGTGAATGAAGGAATTAAATCAACGACCAAAAGGAAATGAAAAGAAGGAGGCGGGAGTAAATAGTGGCCCATATAAAAAAGGACAGGAATAGAGAATAAACCACTGACTCAGATGTCACTCAAGGTGCCAAACCCTCAGCTGCCCCAGAAATTGTTACCTACCAAACAGTTCAAAAAGAATGTTTTGAAAGAACTCTGCTTACTATGTATTCTACATATTGCAAAAGCTTGTTAGATTGAAAGTCAGAACATCAATTGCATTTTACACATACTGCTATTTCAACTGAAAAGGGGAAGAAAAAAGACACTTTTTGTTTTTAGGTATTTTTTTTTTAAGATTTTTTTTTAATTTATTTATTAGAGAGAGATAGAGTGAGAGAGAGAGCACAAGAGAGGGTAGGGTTAGAGGGAGAAGCAGACTCCCCACCGAGCAGGGAGCCCGATGTGGGACTTGATCCCAGGACCCTGGGATCATGACCTGAGCTGAAGGCAGTCGCTTAACCAACTGAGCCACCCAGGCGCCCTTTGGGTATTTTTTTTTTTTTTAAAGATTTTATTTATTTATTTGACAGAGAGAGACACAGCGAGAGAGGGAACACAAGCAGGGGGAGTGGGAGAGGGAGAAGCAGGCTCCCCGCAAAGCAGGGAGCCCGACGCGGGACTCGATCCCAGGACCCTGGGATCATGACCTGAGCTGAAGGCAGTCGCTTAACCAACTGAGCCACCCAGGCGCCCCCCTTTGGGTATTTTTTTAATGTAAGCATTTTTATCTACAACTTTCCCCAGTACTGCTTTTGCTGCATCGTATGTTTTGGTATATTGTGTCTTCATTTTCATTCACCTCTAAGTATTTTCTAATTTCCCTTGTGAATCCTTCTTTGATCCACTGGTTATTTAAAAGCATGCTGTTTAGGGGCACCTGGGTGGCTCAGTCAGTTAAGCTTCTGAGTCTTGATCTTAGCTCAGGTCTTGATTTCAGTGTCATAAGTTCAAGCCCCACATCAGGCTCCATGCTCAGTGGGGACTCTGCTTGAAGATTCTCTCCCTCTGCACCTCCCCCCACTTGCATGCTCTCTAAAATAAATAAATCTTCTAAAAAATGCAAAGCATGCTGTTTAACTTCCACAATTTTGTGAATTTTCCGGTTTTATGTTATTGGTATCTAACTTCATCCCATTGTGGTCAGAGAAAATACTTTGTATATCTTTTAAAATCTACTGAGATTTCATCTGTGGCCTCACATAGGGCCTATCCTGGCAAATGACCCAAGTGCCCTTGAGAAGAGCATTATGTGCCACTCACTGTTGTTGGGCAGAGTGCTCTGTGCGTATCTGTTAGATCCGGCAGGTTTATTGTGTTTGGCCCTCTATTTCTTTATCTTCTGTCTGGTTCTATTCATTATTGAGTAGGGTATTGAAATCTATTATTATAGGAAGATCTATTCATCCCTTCCTTTTTTTGCTTCATATATTTTGATGGTCTGTCATTAGGTGTGTAAATGTTTATCACCGTCATACCTTCTTGCCGTATTGAGCCTTTTATTAATATATACCATCCTTCTTTTTCTCTTGCAACCTTTTGTGATTCAAAATCGATTTTACTTGGGGCGACTGGGTGGCTCAGTCATTAAGCGTCTGCCTTCTGCTCAGGTCATGATCCCAGGGGCCTGGGATTGAGCCCCGCATTGGGCTCTCTGCTTAGCGGGAAGCCTGCTTCTCCCTCTTCCATTCTCCCTGCTTGTGTTCCCTCTCTCGCTGTCAAATAAATAAAATCTTTTTTAAAAATTGATTTTACTTGATATTAGTATAACCACTCCTGCTCTCTTATTTGCATCGAGTATCTTTTCCACCCTTTCACTTTCAACTGTGTTTTTGCTATTATTATTATTTTTGGATCTCAAATGAGTCTCTTGTAAAGGGCATTTAATTAGATCATGTGCTTTTATCTATTCTACTAAGCTCTGTCTTTTGATTGGTTTAATCCATTTACCTTGATTACTAACAAGGAGGGGCTAACTTCTGTCATTGTGCTGTTTTCTATGCATGCTATAGCTTTTTTGCTCATTTCCTACACTCCTGTCTTCTTTCAGTGTTGATTTTTTGTAGTGAAATGTTTAAATTCCTTTTTAATTTCCATTTGTATATAGACTATAGCTATTTTCTCTGTGGTTACCCTGGGGACTACATTTAACATCCTGAAGTTAGAATGCTCTAATCTGAATTTATAGCAGATTAACTTCAATAACATACAAAAACTCGACTCCTTTCCCACTCTTCTGTTGTTGATGTCACAAAATTATATCTTTATACATTGTGCGCCCCAAAACATAAACTAATAATTCTTCTAAGTACATTAGTCTCCTACATTATGTTGAAAACAAGATCTGGAGTTACAAACTAAAGTTAAAATAATACCAACTTTTACACTATTTTTTTCTTTAAATGTGCTTCCTAAATCATGTGGAAACAAAGAGTAGTTACAAACAATTGCTATAATACTAGCTTTTGTAATTGCCCAGGATCTACGTTTATTGAGATCTTTATTTCTCCACATGGCTTTGAGGTGCAGATGGTGTCCTGTCATTTCACCTTGCAGGACTCCTGGGAGCATTTCTTGCAGGACGGGTCTAGTGGTCACAAACTGCCCCCTCTCTTATCTGGGAATGTCTTGATTTCCCCCGACTTTTGAACAGTTTTGCTGGATACAGGATTCTTGGTTGACAGGGTTTGGGTTTTTTTGTTTTGTTTTGTTTTTATTTTTTGTGGGGTTTTTTTGCTTTAGCACTTTACATATATTGCCATGCTGTCCTCTGGCCTCCCACGTTTCTGATGAGAAATCTGTATGTATTCTTACTGAAGATCTCCTGTGAGTGATGATTTGCTTCTCTCTTGTTGCTTTCAAGATTTGCTCTTCATCTTTTGGAAGTTTGATTAGAATGTTTTCAGTGTGGCTCTTTCTGAGTTCATTCCACTTGGGAGTTTTTGAGCTTCTTGTATATTTATGTTCCTATCTTTCATCAAATTTGGTTAGTTTTCAGCCATCCTTTCTTCGAATGTTCTCTGCCCCTTTCTCTCCTGGGACTCCTGCAATGTGTATGTTGATCCTTTTGATGGTGTCCCATAGTTCTCTTAGGTTCTGTCCACTCTCTTCAATTTTTCTGTTAGGCCTCAGTGATGTTCACTGTTTTATCTTCAAGTTCACTGATTCTTCTACCTGCTCAAATCAGCCTTTGAGTCACTCTGATGAATTCTTCATTTCAGTTGTAGTTTTCAGCTCTGGAATTGTTTTCCTTTTAGGTTTTGTTTCTTTATATTTCCATTTTGTTTACACATTTTCTTGGCTTTCTTCACATCTTCCTTTAGTTCTGTGAGCATCTTTAAGACAGTTGTTTTAAAGTCTTTGTTTAGTGTATCTACCATTAAGTCTTTTTCAGGGACAGATTCTGTTGATACTTTTTTCCTTTGAATGGGACATACTTTCCTTTTTCTTTGTATGCCTTGTGATTTTCTGTTAACACTAGACATTTAAATCTAATAATGTGATAACTGAAAATCAGATACTCCCCCTTCCCCGAGGTTCCGGGTTTTTTTTGTCTTTTATTTTTATGGTTGTAGGCTTTCTCTTTGCCAGGATCAGACTGAAGTATAAACCTACATTTTTCTCAGGTCTTTTCTGAGCCCTTCCTTGGGCATGCGCAGTTTCTTATATCCCCTGTATATGCACTTGTTTTTGAATGCCCTTGTTTTTTGTCCTGAATTTCCTGAAAGGGGAAACACACACACACACACACAGCTGAAGGAGGGGAAAGGGCACTGGACCATTAAGTCTCCTGGCAGCCAGAGGGTAAGGGCTTGCAACAGTGACTGCCAGGCTCTTTGCACCACTGTGATCAGAAGCAACAACCAGTAATCAGAGCACAGATTCCCCCCTAGTTGTAGTCTAGGCTCCTTTTCACCCACCATAGCTCCCATATGGTATATGCAGCCCCGTCCGGGAACACCTGCACACCTGTTCTGTGGCTGGGGCAGGGGATGGGTAGTGCTACTGTGCTCTGAGCTGAAACTGATCAAAAGTAACCACAATGTACAGTCCAAGTCTTCTAGAATTTGCAAGCCTTTAACAGACCCCAGAGTTTCAAAATAGTTCCATCACAGGTGTTATTTTAGCCATAGTATTTTCTGCTACTGATCCCGTGGAAATTCTAGGTTATCAAACCAACAAAACCTTGTAGTCAACAGTTTATAAAAATACATCTTTATTGTGTTTCAATGTTCCTGCATGATAGATACCTAGTCATATAAACTTAGTTTCCATGTTAAATATAAATTAAGCAAACACACCAAAAAAACTATAAACAAATCAGCAAATCTGCTGGAAAAATCCCTCCAAGCCATGAATCCTTATTAAAAGTGCATGCTGGGATGATGAAACTATCTTAAATCACCATACTCTGAAAATTGTTACCTGTAGCCAAATCTAAATGTTTAAAGAAGCAATAAAGGGCAAAGTGACATGGAATAAAACCATGGTGGGTTTCTCAACTCCACATCCAGTGAGTTAGGCAAGTCAAATGGCTCCGTCTGACATTTCAGCAAAGTATCACCTTTGTGTAAAAAAAAAAAGATCAGGGGCCTGTCCTCAAGCTACAGGGAAATGTCCAAGCAATCACAGGAGAGCATGGCCAGAAGACTTCGTAGTCACATGGTTCCAGAACATGAATCCCAAAAGGCCCAAAAATGAGGAAACATCTATTCCACCCCAAAAGCCATTCCCAGAGCTCAAAACCAGATTACTAACGATGACTAAGGATCGGCACATGTCCTGAAAATTCACAACCGTAGCAAAACATACAACATATATAAACATATATAAAACCTGGAAAAGTCTTGAATATCAGAATAGAAAGGTTCAAACATGAACCTTGAGAGGTTTGTTACTGCGGCCAAAATACCCAAGTTGGGACTGGCCTGACATGTTTTTCCTATAAATTTTGAGTCTAAATCCTTGAGAGACATAAGATGCATGTCCTCCTTAGTCTTCTCTCATAGGGTGCTCAAACACAGGGGACCTACTGTCCCAAGTCTCCCACGGCCCTCTTTAGGGCTAGAGCAATTCAAACAGCTTGTGGAATGGTGCCGAAAACTATACCAGGTCCAAATCCCACACGGAGGGCAAGGTTCAGCTGCGAGGGTTTCCACTGCTTGCTAGGAAAGAACTCCATGCCGGCAGTTCAGAAACAAAAGCAGTGTGTGACTGCCGTCAGAGACCCATCCTTGAGTTCGGCGGCGGGGACGCTAATCACTTCTGCGAAGGTGAGCATGGGCTCACGTTCCCACGGTGGGGTCAATTACGAGGCTCTGAGGCTGTGGGGCTGCGGACCGTGGACATGAGGTGGGACTTGTAGGTTTTGCTCAGGCCCGTCATCCAGAACTTGAGCAGCTTGACATTGTCCTCTTCAGATGCTCCGAGGATACTCAGGAGCTTCTGCGTGTCCTCTTTGGGCCGACTGTCCACCTTGGTGAATTTGAAAAGGACCTTCACTTTGCTGAAGAAAACCAAACACACAATGCTCAGATACCACAGCAAAATCACATCACGGTTCAGGGCCCGAGGCCTAACGGCTTCAAGGCCAGCACACAGAGTGGCGGCTCAGGACCCAGCACGCTCCAGCACCTCCCCCCGGCCGGGCAGTTCTAACCCTGCGTAATGAGGCCGCTGCCTCAAAATGGGGGGAAAAGCCCATTTTCTTTTAAATTCATTAAAGGAATTTGTGGCTCCTTAGCTTCACTGTATTATTGGAAATTAGGACAATGTCTAACTGAATTTCACAAAAAATTACTAAAGGAAACTGATTAGGGAAATAAATAACTAGTCTAACTTTAACGGAAAAGAAACATCTGTCATCTGGCTTTCAGATTTTTTTTTTTTTAAAGATTTTATTTACTTGAGAGAGAAAGAGAGGGAGACGGAGCACGAATGGGGAGGAGGGGAAGAGGGAGAGGGAGAATCAGCTCCCTGCTGAGCAGGGAGCCCGACTCGGGACTCAATCCCAGGACCCTGAGATTATGACCTGAGCTGAAGGCAGATGTTTAACCGGCTGAGCCACCCAGATGCCCCTGGCTTTCAGATTTTTAAAGGTAATTAAGCAGCAAAATTTACTACTTCTCTTGGAGGCAATTGTCACCGCCATCTCACAGAGGAGCATCGTGAGGACTAGGAGTGCCGCCTTGCTCAAGGTCACCCAGCTAAGAGACTAAATGGCAAAGATGCTATTTGAACCCCTGCTCTGAATCTCTATTCTACCCCACTTCTCAGGGAGGCCACAACTTTTTCTGAAAATAGCTCCCGGCTCTTGCCAGCAGAACGTAACTGCTACTGGCTGCCCAGCACCCCCATGAGAAAGCAGACTCCAGGGGCCAACGCGGGGTGTGCTTACTTCATCCACTCTTCCTTAAGGCAGACGAGGCACTGGTCCACCACACCCACAGACAGGTTCTGGTTGGTCAGAGCTGCTTCCATCTTATTCAGGATGGTGGGGCCAACTGGGAACAAGGGCGGGTTGTCAGCATGGGCGAGCGAGAGGCAGCCTCAGCGTTCTTCTCCCCACTCACCGTGGTGAAAGGGAGGCGGCTCGGCAGCACCCACCTCGGTCCGCAGCTACAGGACTTCCACTGGTCACAACAAACTCGTACTTGCTGAGGGACTGGTCATCCTCGCACCCGGCTGGGTGGAGGCTGGAGCGAGGGGCTGAATGGGCCTCCACGACGACAGCAAATTCTGCAGCAGCACAAAATGCACCGCGCTGGAAGGCGAGCCCCTGCCCCCAGGGAGCCTGCTGCCCGCCGCCAACGCTCCCAAGTCCGTCTCGGATCTAAGAGCGGAAAGCCGCCTCCCTGACTAACGCCTGGCCACTGAAAACCTTCTGCAGTGTATCTGTTAGCAGAGTTAAGGGCCACCTCTTGCCTCAGTTAATGTGTTATCTTCCAGTAACTACTAATTATGTATCTGAAATTCACTTAATGCCAAACAGCCCTGTGACGGCGGTCCCCACGTTAGTCTCATTTTATGACAGGGAAAGAGAGTCAAAGAAGCTAAGTGGTTTGGCTCAAGGGCGTACTGCCAGGAGTGGTTAAGAATTTCAAGCTCATCTTTGAAAACAGGAGCCTGTGTTCCAAAAAAAAGGTGCTGCCTCTCAGGGACTCAGGACCCAGCCTGGGATGCTGAACGCAGTGGCAGCTCAGGACTGCTGAGCACCAAATGCCCTGCCGATCGGGCTTCCGGCCATCTCGCAGCGTGCTCGGGGAGGCCACTGGCTTGCCCGGGGAGCCTGGGATTTCTACCCAAGCAGACTCCTGAGCTCCTCAAACCAAAGACAAGGATGCTAATTAGATTCCTGGCTCTCAGCCCAGAGGAGAAAGCCTGTCTGGGCTGAGGGCAGAGCCAGGCCCCGCTGTACCAGTGAATGTCAAGGCTGGATTTAAGGCACAGACAAGAAAAGAGTTGCCTCCCGAGTTGCCTTCCTCTTGCTGGCAGAACAGCACGACAAACCTCTGACATCCGTCTGTGTTGTTTCCATTCCCAGGACTGTAACCTGCCCTCCACCAAGAACCACGCCCAGCAAGCCACCCTCACTCTGAGACTGTCCTGTCCAACCCTCGCCCATTTTAAAGACAGAAAACAGAGGCCAAAGCCACAGGGAAAGCTGGTCCTCCTGCTTTTGAGCAGCCAGCATTCCCACAGGCAGCATCCTCAGATCCACAGCTAAGACGCAGTTCCACTTCTGAGCCCACAGGTTCAGGACCTTGGCTCAGACAGGAGAGGGATGTACCTGAGGCCAGCACGTGGGAGGGGATCTGCACGTGTGGGCTGAGCCCCAGGAAGTTGCAGCGGTAGGCCTCCTCGTACTGGTTGCTGTAAGGGATGATGCGGACACAGCCCACTGGCAGCATCGTCTAGAGAGGACACAGTGACTCGGATCTGATGCTAGCTGGAACATGCCCCGCCCGTCACCATCACCCACCCCCCGTGTGCCCTCCGCAGTCGGTCTAAAGCCTCTCTCCTCCCAGAAGGCGTTCCTGGTCACTTGGCCCCACTGCGGTGTCTCCTGCATGGCCCAACTCCTAATCCAGCAATCAATCATACAGGATTTATGCTACCTCTTGTTTTGTGGTATTAATCTTTCTATTATTCTTTGACTTCTCAGATGTTTGTCTCTCTTCCCTCACTCCAAAAAGAGATAAGCTTTTTGAGAGATTCTGTCATATTCATTTTGTGCCCTCACAGGCCTAGGCAGATATTAAGCATGAACAAGGTTTCTGAGGACTTAAATATCATCAGCCAGACCTGGGCCTTGGCACCCACTACACTTCTGAGGTGCAGGCAGCATGGTAGACCCGCATCTCACCTGACTCATCAGGAATGTTCTGTGCACAGGGACATGTGATGACCCAAACCTGCTTCTAAGGCAGCTGTGAACCATGCCAACGGCTTCTTAGAGGGATCCGGGGATTGGGGGTAGGGTAGTTAGTTATCACTCTATCAAGATAGCACAGACTCCTTCCACTGGAAATAACAACCATCGAGGACTGCCATTTTCAACAGTGGAGAAAAAGCACAGATCTCAGATTCAGGCATGAACCTTTGGACTGAGCCATCCCTGAATCCTAACATTAACACCCATGGTCAGGATTTAAAAAAAAAAAAAAAAAAAAACACCTAGGCAAACACCGTCCCGCTATAAAACACTTAGAAGAAAAGCTACTCTTACCCGAAGAACTTCAAAAGCTGACTGGACAAGGTCTGCGTCTCTACTTTTCCAGATCACTTGGTTCCCCATGAGAACATGCCAGGCCAACATGCGAAAGGACGGGGCACCCAGCACCTGAAAGATACAGTTCAGTGCTTTCTGCCCTGAATTTTCTTTTGTGCAACCAAAATTATTTGTGTTCTCTGTAGAGTGAAGGAAGATGGGTTGAAGAGAGGGAAGGGCAGGCTGACTTGCCCGCGGTCAGGAGGAGGCAGGTGGAGGCCTCTGAATGAGCACCTGGAAGCCTGATCCCAAAGCCCTGGCACACTGTAGGATCTTTTCCCCAATTTTATTTTTAAAAACTTGAAGCAGAAGGGGCGCCTGGGTGGCTCAGTTGTTAAGCGTTTGCCTTCAGCTCGGGTCACGATCCCAGGGTCCTGGGATTGAGCCCCGCATTGGGCTCCCTGCTCGGCCAGGAACCTGCTTCTCCCTCTCCCACTCCCCCTGCTTGTGTTCCCTCTCTAGCCGTCTCTCCCTCTCTCTGTCAAATAAATAAATAAAATCTTAAAACAAACAAACAAAAACCTTGAAGCAGAAAATGTGTTAGCTATTTACAACATTCACTTTCTCTCTCTCTCTACACCATCTTGCCGAATCACGTCAAAGTAAGGGACAGGCAGCATGACGCTTCAGGACCCAGGAAGGACAAGGGCTCTCCTACAGAACCCCAGTACACACCACCCCCAGAAACACCACACAGATGTGCCATCAACCCAGTATCCGCAGCTCCAAATCTCTAACAATGTCCTTGACAGCTGTTTTCTTTCAATCCAGGAGTCCCTTAAGGATCAAAGACTGTTTCATTTATTCTACTGTCTACCCCGTTTTATGCCAGAACAGTCCCTCTGTCCACCTGACTCTTTGTAACTTCTCTGACACTGGAGTTTTGGGGGAGTTCAGTCTGTTATCCTTTAACTTATAAGATGGCTTTTTTAAAAAAAGGGGGAGGCTAGAAATATTACATTTTCCAAAACTCCTATAGCTTCAAAATACCCCCACCTCCCCTGGGATTGAAGATTCCTTCTAATTTTGATCCACGTAAGCAATCGACAAGGACGATTTTAGCCAAATACACGGTTTTGGTGGGTGAATGTTCCTCATTCAGAAGCCCCACAGAGCATCTGCCATTAAATCAGTCTTTACTCCATTTTTCAAAACAGAAATAACTACCTTTTGTTAAAACTCATCCTCATTGTAAAAGTAATCACAGAAAAACATAAAAAGGGACTGCCCTTGTAATCTTGTCATCTCTTTTTCCCGTCCAACCGAACATAACCATGGTCGACACTGTTGGGTGAGGCCTGTCTCCAGCACGCATGTATATAAACACGCACACCACCCTGTATGATATATTGGATGCTTTCCTCTCTGTATTTAAGGACATTCCATTGTTTGGGTGGAATTCCTATGGATGGACATCCAGATTCCTTCCAATTTTCTGCAAGAAGGGCCATAATTTGCACTTTGCAAAACGTCTAAGGCCGCGCGCAAACCAACAGTGCCATGAACAGCATTTCCTTTAAAAGGTTCCAGCGTGACAAGGTCAGAGGACCATGAGAAGCCAACCATGCAGGGCTTTCTGTATAAAAGACACCTACGTCAGCACTAAAAGGGGAGCACTGTGCCTGTGGCCGAGATACCCCACACAGCCCCAGCTGTCTTTGGCCAGCCATCGAGGGCTTTTGGTTACTCCTAACCAATCAACCCCCACTGGGTCTGAACATCCTGGGCCTAAAGGACAAAGTGTGCTGGATGAGGAGAAGGGGACTGGGCTCTTCTCCATAGTTTCTGAATGGGGGTCTACCCCTCTGCCGCCTACCTGCCTCATGTGCCGAAGGGACTTAAAGACAGACATCTTTCGGGGCTGCCAGTTTCCACAGTCTGAGAGCAAGGAAGAATCTGTTGGGCACTTGGTCAGCTCCCGCCCCTCTGCACCCTCTGGCAAGACAGGAGCTTTCTCCTCCTCTTCAGCCTCGGAGTTGTCCCAGCTTTCGGATTCCTCTTCCAAGTCTGCAAGGCGGACAACAAAGACATTTATGAAACATGCTGTCCCTGGATGCCTTCACTCCCCAAATGCGACAGCGCTGTGGTGTCCACTGTAGCCCAAGGCATTCCTGATTTCTGGTTTGGGCCAGTATCTATACCATTTGTCCTCGGAGCCCTGCGGGGAGCAGGGAGGGCCAAGTCTGTTTACTTACTTACTCAGCTCAAAGCCTCACGCTGCATTACGAGGCAGGCACCCGCGAGACTGTGAGCTGCTCGTGGTCATGGGATGATTCAAAGCAACGACGAGAAGGAGGATAGCGCGTTCACTTCCCACTTCCCACTCAGGCACTATTCTAAAGGCTTCCACACATTCTTTCACTTCCTCCTTTCAACTGTCCTGAGGTCAGTACTACTCTCCCCATTTTACAGAAAAAGAAATACTTGTTATTTCCATTAATCTCTGTGACAACCGTCACAACTAAGGACATCTTCACTCCATAATCCAAGTGAGATCCACAGGGAAGAGGTCTTGTCTGGTCACAGAACGTGCGAGAGGAGCAGAGCCAGGATCTGAAGCCAGGTCTGTCCAAATCCAGAGTGTGTGCTCTGGACTAAAATACAGTCTAACACATGACAGCCCTGCATGCCTGCATGTCTCTTGCCTAAAAGCTCTGATGTACTTGGCTCTCTCTAAGTACTCTCACCAACAGACTATCCTTGCCATTTTCACTACCCTAGAAATTTGAAATCACAATAATAAAGGGTTCTAGGGTCCGCTGATCCGCGAGGGCGTGAAGGTGGACCACAAGTTTTTGTCTTTCAGAGCATACCCTGCCCGCGCTGAAACTCTACTCCCTTTCTTCCACTCAGGAAAGCATGCTGGAATCCAAGTGCGTGCAAAGTCACCTGACTACAGGAATAACCTTGAAACAGTTCCAATTTATTAAGGCCAATTATCTGCACCCTGAAGCACATCAAGTGTTACTCGTCACACACTACACACAACTTACATCGCAGTCTGGTTTACCCAAGCCCAAAGCTGAGGCTGCTGACCTAGGTCACCAAGAATCAAATCATCTCCGAAAGAGCAGCTCAGCCAGGATTGAGAGCAGAGGTTCCTGGGCTGGTACACGCCACAGCAGCATGCCCTGGGAAGTTACTTAAAACACAGGATCCTGAGCCCCAGATGTGCAGCTCCGATCAAAAACCTGGGGAGGACTACCCAGACATTGGTAAGGCTTGGGAACCACCCTTGATGGAAACCCTGGGTCCACCTGAAGCATAACATTTTATTGTTCAAGTGTCTAGAGAAGGCAAGCACCTGGGGATCATAGGACAGGGACAAGAAAACCTTCCATCAATCCATCTTCCCCACCGCCTAACAGCCCTCAATAGCAGACTTTCCCAGGCTGCCCAGGGTGGTAGATGCCTTCATGTGACTGTCAAGAAAAAGGAGACAGGAAACCACACTAAAAACACTAAGGCTAAAGGGCGAGCTCTTGCAGATGTTCCTCCTGGGTTACTGATCCTAGGGTCCCCTTCAACAGGATGGAGGGCCGGGGGGCTGTGAGATGGGCCCCGACAGCCGCTGCAGGCAGAGGTGTCCAGCACAAGCACTCCCAGCTCACCTGCAAGCTTCTCCATCTGGACCAAGGTGTCCTCGGTGGGCGCACCCTCCAGGAGCTTCTCAGTCAGCCGGCTGCCACACGCCTTCAGGAGCCTGGAGAGCAAAGCACCACCTATGAGGTCTTCTTGCCACAATGAAAATGGAACCTGAAGCCTATCAAGCCTTTTAATCTACTAGTTCACAGAAAATATGGGTATAGAAGATCCTGTTGCACAGACCCACAAAGTCACAATCAGCCAAATCCAAAGGGAGCATTCTATAGCACAAATGACCCAGGTCCCCCAACAAGAGGTATGGAAAACTCTGTGGCAGAGGCATCGGAGAAACTGCTCTAGACTAAGAACAGAACGAGGTGCATGCTGCGCAGCTGTGATCTGATCCCATTTCAAAAATCAATCCTGAACAAGAAAACAGGAAAACTGAACACGGATTGGGCTGGCTGATGCTAAGGAATTTGTCAATTTTGTTGGATATGGTTTTATATTTGAAATGATACAACTAAGATCCACTTTAAAAAAGATATTTCAGGGGCGCCTGGGTGGGTCAGTTGGTTAAGCGTCTGCCTTCAGCTCAGGTCACGGTCCCAGGGTCCTGGGATCAAGCCACGCATCGGGCTCCCTGCTCCACAGGAAGCCTGCTTCTCCCTCTCCCACTCCCCCTGCTTGTGTTCCTTCTCTCGCTGTGTCTGTCTCTGTCAAATAAATACATACATACATACGTAAAATAAAATAAAAATAAAAAAGTATTTCAAGAAAAAGGGAGGGGACAGAAAGAGCCGTAAAATGTTGGCAACTGCTACAGCTGGATGATGAGGGTATGCAGTTCACTGTACTGTTTATTCTACTGTGGGTCTGTCTGAAAATCTCTCCTAGATGATTTTCTGTAGGGCATGGGAGACAGAGACTTTCTCTTTTGTTCATAGGTCCTCAGGAACTACCCTCGAAGATCTTTGTTCCAGGTATGCACGTCCTCTGCACCCGGACCTGATTTGGGCGACGAGGCCCCAGACTCGTAGCCACGGCTGCACAAGGATGTCTTTGGGAGAGGTACATCTTGCAATGGAAGGAACAGAAACAATCTGAGGCCAGAGGACAGACTGTGGTGATGTTCAGAAGACGGAGGCAATCCTTTCCTCCTGACCAGGCAGGTCTGAGTGCCCCAGCACACTCCTAACAGACGGCCTGTGCGGGAAGGGCCCCCAGCAGCCCGCACCGAGCTGCAAGAGGGGTGCAAACCTCGGACCGCTGCAGCCCTGACTGATGAACCCCTGAGCAGCCCAGCCAGAAGCATCCAGGCCAGCCACTCCCAAATTCCTGACCCACAGAGCTGTGTGACATAAAGCTCTGTTGTTGGAGACAAAAAAGGGAGATCACTGCTCTTGGCGTGCGAGCATCATCTTAAACATATGGGGAAGTGAGGGCCCTCTCAGTCTGTTTTCTATATGCCCGAGGGAAGATGCCTAGAGCAAAAGCAGGACGCAGGTCAGCGCCTGCCAACAAGTACCCGGCACAGAGGCACCTGGGAAACTCAGCCAACGACGGTTTCCCCAGATTCATGCGGCACCCACCCAGTACACCGTGACTGCTCTCACTCTAACAGTCGCTGAAACCCTGCAAACGTGGTTACCAAGCAAAGGAGGTGTGAAGGCATGCCCACAAGTTGTCATCGCTCGTCAAGGATGTCAACGAACGAGCCGCATTGCCGTTGCGTTGATGCAGGAAGGGTGTGAAGGCCGTGTTCATCCTCTGGGCGCGCTGCGGGCAGCCAAACTGCTCTGCCTCGAACACCTGAAATGCAAAGGGAACAGGCGGCCTTTGAGCAAAACAGAAGCAGCCGAGCAGCCCAGAGCCAGCTCGTTCACAGCCAACTTCCTGGATCCTACTCCAGAAGATTCTGTCCCATTCTGCTGTCCTGATGCAGGCCACAGAAAAGTGCCCCCGGTCTCCTCACCCCAAACAGAACGGTTTCTGCCTCACAGCTTAATGAGAAGCTACCTGAGGAAGAGGAAGCGGTTAAGAATTTCTCCTGTGTCCTCTCCCACAACCAACTCATTAGGCACCCGATGGGCACTCAGGTGGTACAGGAGCTTGCGTGCTCATCACTGCTGTTCTTCACGTCCTTCCAGTCCCCTGCCCCCCGTCCCAGCACATGGAGGCTTTCAGTGAGAGACCTGGTGCGGGTGGGACATGTGCCCTGTTCTGGCACGGAGGTGAGAGAGGAACGAGGCCCTCCAGCACCATCTACGGCCTCTCGCAGGGAAATCAGCAACGTTCCGATACGGATGTTGCTCCAGCTGCTGGGCTGGCTACAATGAGTAGATCCTCCCATCCCTGCAATGGACACACAACACGACCAACAACAAAACACTGTGGGACGCTGGGTGGCTCAGTCGGTTGAGCATCGGGCTCTCGGTTTTTGGCTCAGGTCATGATCTCAGCGTCATGGAATCAAGCCCTGTGTCAGGCTCCACACTGGGCGTGAAGGCTGCTTGGGATTCTCTCTCTCCCTGTCCCTCTGCTCCCACCCCGCTCTCTCTCCAAACAAAAAACTCCACCAAGGCCCCAAACAAAACATAAAAAACAAACAAAAAACCCAAACAAAACAGAAGAAAACCCCCCCAAAGGGTGTGGTTTTAGGCCACTGAGGTTTGGGGGCTGTCTGTCACAGCACAACCAGGCCTGCTCTGAGGGACGTGATGCCATAGCTGGGGGTCTACGCTGGTGATGGTCTACGACACGCTTCATGAACAGGCTTCCAAATGAAGGCCAGAGGGAGCAAAGACACCAGGGCCTGTGAGCGCAGTGAAGGAGCCAGAGCTGAATGGGAACTGGGACAACAGTGGACTCAAGAGAGGCCAGTGAAGCAAGCAGGACTGATGGCCACAGCCCTGACTCTGAAGTCGAAGACCACAATTCGGACAGAGCAACGGCCGCAAGACCTAGAGATAATAAAGCCAGCTGCGCTCTGACCCCCGTCAGTGCCCAGCTCCTCCCCGACTGCCACCCACTCTCCCTGTACGTCTGTACGTGGGGTCACCTTGAGTGCCTTGCCCTGCAGTTCGTCAATGATCCCTCGGATCTTCCCAAGCAGGAAGGGCCAGGAGTTGATGAGGTAAATCCGGTCCATCATGATGGCGATGATGCTGTACCAGCGCTGGAAGCCCCTGGCCAGGCTGTCTTTGATGAAGAAAGTGTGGCTGAACACGAAACCATGCTGCTCGTCCCCAAAGAAGATAGGGCCTTCCCGGCCAGGGCAGACCTGCGAAAATCAACACTGCCTGCTGTGGTGACAGTCAAATCCTCCTCCTCCAACTTATCTTTCTGTACTAATTCACTAGCATTCATTACAGGAAGAGAGGGAAAGCTGGGGACAAGAGAGGAAAACTGCTTTCATCTGCTTCTGGGATCAAACTTTCTAAAGATAACATTTATTACCATGGATTGCAAGGGCCTGTCAAGTAGGTTCATGACCTTTTTTCTACGCCGAGCCATAAATCACTCCTGTTCAAATATTGTATCTGTTCCATACGCTGTGGCATATAGTCATAGAAGGACATATTACTCAGCAATAAAAGTGAACAAGCTACTGACACATGATTAAAAAAGAAAAAAATATCGTATCTCTTCCAGACTCAAATTGGCCAACATCACTCATTTGGAATACACTGCAGAAGGTCAAAGCAGTTACTATAGAGCCCATACAATAAAATTTGCATACTTTGTTTACAGGACAGATGTTAGGTCTCCCTCATGACACATTCACTCTTTACACACAATTCTATCAGGCACAATCATCTGCTTCTAGCTGATCAGCAGCAGGAAATAAATTTAAAAAAAAATCTTAAAAAAAAAAAAGTTAGCAGCAGGAATCAAAGTTAGTAGTAGGAAATCAAACAGAGGGAACCAGCTGAAGGTAGGCACACTGCAACCGTAAGTTAAAACTGAGAGGGGGCTTCACTGTATCTCATCAAGTGGGTACAGAGAAGGGAAGTTTTATAACTGATTTATGAATTCTTCGTGATAGGTAAAGACATAAGAACCAAGGACACCTGTGTGGCACAGTCGGTTGGGCACGTGACTCTTGGTTTCAGCTCAGGTCATGATCTCAGGGTTGTGAGATCAAGCCCCACATCAGGCTTGGCGCTCGGCATGGAGTCTGCTTGAGATTCTCTCTCCCTCTCCCCTCCCACTCATGTGTGCACACACGTGTACTTTCTCTCTAAAATAAATAAATCAATCTCAAAAACCAGAAAACCAAAAAACATAAGAGCTAAGACTTAAATTCAACAACAGGAGCTAGGAAGTTTAGGAACAAACTGATTCATCTGTTGGGAAGTGAGAGCACATGGTAACCACTAAGGCTTACAGCAATGATTGAGACAATAAAAAAGGTGATGTCTGGTATGGTGAACCACATAACCTAGAAACAGTTAATTTCTTAGAAATATGTTCATCAAGAATGGACACATAACAAAAGTTTCGTGCCTGAAACGATAAGCTAGCAACCGTTCAGAACACTGGAGTCCAACCCAACTTATTCTGGAGTTCGAGAGAACTGGGGCTGCTCCGTGCTCCCTGCTCACTGATCCCCCGTCCTCTTCGCGAAGGACTGACCTCTGTCTTCCTTTCCGTAACCAGTAGTGAACTTGTTCGGGGCATCTGGGAGTGTGTGTGATATTCCCACAGAGTCCCCTCCAGGGTCACGGTGCTCACCTCACAGCTTAGGCTCCGTACACAGGCCTGGCGGACGATGCTGAAGAGCTGGGGGTGGTTGGGGTGCTGGTGACTGACATATTTAATTGAGGTCTCTTTATCATGGCTGATATACCCGGGATGTCCAGCAGCAAGGGACCGGCAGCCCTACCACCAAGAAGGAGAAGAAAACCAATTAGTCAGGAAGCAGGCAACAAACTTTCTTATGCACATCTGAACGAGAAAACCCAATCCATCTTCCTATAAAAATAACAGGCTTCTAGAGTTACACTTCTCTGAAGATCTCAATGTTTCCCGAATAGATCTCTGAAGATCTCAGATCACAAAGATCGTCAAAGAGTATGAGTACAAGATCTAACCTGCCGAGCACTTATGTAGCAGGTATTACAAAGAGCTCTGCATGCATGGTCTCATTTGGCCCACAGTGCAACTTTATGAGATACTTATAGCGAGAAGCCTCATTCTGCAGGAGGCAAGGCGGAGGCCCGGGGTTGCAAAGTGGCTCACACAAGTGAGTGTGACTAGCCTCTGTCCTTGGTCCTGACACAACCGCTTCGCAGGGGCCTCAGGCGGCTGGTGCGGCACCCTGGGAACACAAGCTCAGAGCCCATGCTCGGGAGTGGACCTGGCTGGTGCCCGGCTGCTGCCCCTCGGGAGCCACCGCCACATGCAAGGCCTCGCATCCCAGAGGCTATCCCGCCCGGAGACCGCCCAGGACGGTACTGCGGCCATCCGGTCCCCGTGGCAATGCCAGCTCAAGGACTCTCTCTGTCCGGCACCCTTTCCTTCCCTCCTCTCCTGCACAGCCGTCAGACTCATTCCCAGCAGCCAGGCTCTCCCCACAGGGGCTTCCAGCAAGAAAGAGATCAGTCTTGTGCCTGCCGTCTGCTTCTCAGCACACCCAAACTACTGTGGCTGGGGTCCTGCTCACCCTGCAGTGGCAGGGCTCACACCACTGCTGATTTCAGGTCCCGACTCGGGTCTGTCACACAAAGCAGCAGCCGGTTGAGGGAACTTAAACTTCATTCCCTAGAGCTCACACAACCACACCAAAAGTAAGAGCCAGGCCCCCAGGAAGAGGAAACCTTGCACGACACTGGACTGAGGAAGTGGAGCCGAGGATGGGCCAGGGTGCAGATGCAAGCATGCAAAGGGAAGGGCTGAAAAGCAAATGTCAACTGCGTCAACTGTCAATGTTGGCACGGGGTGGGCGGAAAAAACTAAAGCTGGGATCAAGGGAAAGAACTAAAGGGACACAGAAAGAATCGATCACATTCCACAGGGCCCACAAAGAATGGTCTGCACACCTTCCCGTCCACTGCTTAGTCCCACAGGGTCTCCTCCCGCCCACCCGATCCAAAAAGAAACGTCTCCAACACCCTGAGAGACACTTGCCTCGCACATGTCCGACTTTTTGGGCCCCGGGCTGCTGGACTCTGCGCTGGCCCCTTCCGCTGGACTGTGAGCGCGGATCCGACTGCTCATCTGAATGCCACCCTCCTCCTCCTCGGCCTGTTCGCCCTGGCCAGGGCTGTCCCCATTCCCAGCCCCTTGAGGAAGCGGGGCGTGCAGAACTTCTGTGCAAAAGAGAGTGCGGGGGCCGTGGAGCTCACAGAAGTGACAGAGAGCGACAATGGCATTCATGGTGTCCTGGAGACAGCAGGAGGCCTGCATGGGGGAGGAGAGGAAACACCATCAGCCGGCCAGCCTCTGCCCGCACCACAGAGCCCGCCCGCTGCCCTGGGGCACATCAGCAGGCTTCCCAGCCAGCAAGGCAGGTCACCCAGGCAGCCAGCCGGCCAGCCAGCCAGCGGGCCCGGCATCAGGTGCAGGGAAAACTCGGCAGACAGAGCATGGTCCCTGCCTATCAGGAGTTGCAATGGAGGAGGGAGAGTGTAATTCAAGGATCACACGGAAAACCCTTCAGTTAGAGCTGTGACAGAGCTAGGAGGTGCTCAGCCCAGAGAAGAACACAAGCGCGAGGGACAATGTGGCAAACATGACACAGATCAAGGCCATAGGGGTCTGGAGGAGAGACTCATTTATTCTATCAGCAGCTGCTGTGCTGGGTGATATGCTGTTGCCCTCATGGAGCTTACCTTCTAGGAGGGGACGGACAAACTGATTGCTCTCCTATGGTGACAGCTTTTGGAAGAAAAGTATGGCAGGTGTGGGGCCGAGACTCACTGGAGGAGGTGGATGTGATTTTGGGCACAGGGGCTCTCTGAGTGAGAGCTGAAGGGAGGAAGGGAGGAAGGGAGCCATGGGGCCAAGGAGAGGGCATGACTCTGTAGAGAGTTGGGGGACGAGGGCAGAAGACCAGAAGGAGGTGGATTTTAGGGACCCTTCTAGGCCACAGTGAAGGCTGATTTTCTTCAGACTGGAGAGTCTCTGATAGGTTCTGATGAAAATATGGTAAATCTGAGTAGTGGACAGTGGCCAGGATTCAACCCTTCTCTTTTGGGGACCCTCTCTCCCATTATGGAGCCAAAGAAGGTAAGATATCCTCTGTCCTCATCCTCCCATATGGGTGTGACCAAGGCTTGACCAGTCAGCCACACCTGCCCAAGAAGCCAAACCCAGTGTGAACATGCGTGGGGGCCGGGGAGCGAGTCCCAGGCGACGGCATCCTCAAAACCCTGAGTGGTCTGTCCGTCACTGCATCCTCCCAGCAGCCTCCCTTCTCCAGCCTGCTCGCTAACTCTGCCACCCACCCGGCATCTTGCAGACAACCTCTCAGCTGCCACGACTACCACTGCTCCTGTCCTTGTACCTGAGGGAGGGGTTGGCGCTCCAGTGACAGTGGGAATGGCAGAGGCCAACACAAAACAGACAACTCAAGACAAAGTGAGCTGGGCTGATGGGAGTCAGGCATGGGGATCAGATGGGGACTTGTGGGTGCCTGGCAGATAGGGAGAGCGGGGGCACAAGATATTCCTTAGAGGGAGGTGGGCAGCAGAGAAAGAGTTGAAGAGACAGAGCATTTAGCTGGAAGACTCTGAGTTCCATGGAGATTCTGGACCGCAGAAGCAGAGAGGAGGATGAAGGTCCAGGACACTCCAAAGACCTTTGCTTGACTCACCATCCTCACCATTCACTTCTTCCTTGCATGTCCCTGTTGACAGGTCTCCCAAACCAGCCCCCCAGAGCAGCTGCTCACTTCCATCGCATCACTCTCTCCCGTCCTCGCTTTATTTTAGTTCTCCTAGAAACTGCACTGTTTGTGTTTACCTGTATGAATGTCCCCTAAGGTGGGGGTGGGGGTCTTAGCTACAACAGTTCCTGACACACACTGCAGGTGCCACATTAAAGTTCTGGATAGATGAGTGGATTTAGGAGCTGCCTATGGAGAGAGGACAGCTGGTGCCCCAGAAAGCAGAGAGCTCATCGAGGATATCTATGGGCAGGAAAGGTTCAAGAGCACAAGCATGGGGAACACCAGAGTCTGAGAGCCTAGTGTCATGAGACCCAAGTAAGCCAAATTCACTTTATTTTTAAAGATTTTATCAAATAAGCCAAATCTAAATAGAGGTTCCACCAGGCTCACTCTGGTGAGATCAAGGAAAATGATGGTTTAAGCAATCTGTTGTGGAAGAGGGGTGAGGTGACTGACAATGGAGTAAGAATCCCAGAGGAAGAAGCACTGAGACCCAAAGGCAGAGGCTTTAACCCTGGAGAAAGGCCACATCTTCCTTTGAGAGGCATAAAAGAGAAATAAGGTTCCTTCCAGCAAAACATCCGCATGAAAGCAGCACTTGGCTAAGGTTCACCCCGTTTATTGTAGAGCATCCACACGAACCTTTAAACTCAGCAAAATCACACGTGCACCATCCCGCCTAGACAAGAGCACACAAGGCCATTTCCAAATGAGTCGGGCAGGGCAACGGTGGCCATACTGCAGGTCTAAGGCCTGATGTTTTCTAGGTGAGGGGAAAAAAAAAAAGCGGATTCTAAGAGCAACGCACTTGGTGGCGCACATAAAACCATCAAGCAGCATCTGAACGGCTTAGCAGGCCTCTTGCCTCTGAGCAGTAGCTGATGGCAAGCTGGCGCTGCAGCTAAACTTTGAGCTGAACTTTCGCACCCCTACAGCATTACTGCATAAAGGACTTCTTTAAACATAAATACGTTTACATCTTTTAAAAATACAAAACACTTACAAATACAAGGTCTTCATCCTTCCTACTCTTGGTTACAAGAGGACTGTCTTGGCAGCACCCACATCATGCCAATTTAACCCTTCAGATCTTAGGCCTTCAAGTTTCTCTCCTCAGATGGGAAGGATAGACCAGAGGTGATGTTGCTAAGCTACTTCCCAGCATCCATGGTCAACATGGGAGACTTAATTATTAATAATTTTTTTGTTTTGTTTTGTTTTTTTAAAGAAAAGCAGTCCCCATCAGGAGGACCACAGCCCCAGGCAGCTAGTGGAAGACAGGGAGGTACCACTTAACTCCAAAGTCACACAGAAAAAAGCCTGTCTCCAGGCTTTACCTGCCAGGTGATGTCAAATATCTTACTAGAACTACCCTTAAGCTGAGAAACAGAGGCCAACCCGCACCTCTCAGGTTAACCACAACTTGTGCAATCAGAATTCTGAGTAGCAGGAGGTCAGTTCTCTATTCACCCCCACTTCCAATCTGTACCAGACGTTTCCCGAAGAAAATAAACTGGCTTGAGTATGCCTAACAGTTTGGTGTTCCTTTCCTTCCTTCCAACAAGCTTTCCGGAATCCAAGGAAGAAGCCGAAATCTGCTCCCTATCGCTTCAACTTTATACTCAAAGCAAGATCCAAATACCTCGAAGGGGTAGGGCCCTTTTCCGAGGCGCTGGCCCGGCCCTGGGTCTATTTCATTCTCACTTCCTAATGAGGCTCAAAGAGCACTTTGCAAATAGAGTATCATAATGGCTCTTAACCATTAACAAGCACCAGAATTCCTTGCAGCTTCTTTACCTAGTCTTCTTTAGGGGAGTCTCATTAAGTCAGCAGCTGGATCCCAGCAAGTCCAAGGTGAAACGTTCCACAGGGGATGACTTCCAACTCAAACCCATTCACACCGCGGTGGCTCTATTATTTCTACCAACTTCACCTGGATTTCTGTTTACAAAGCTCCCTGATGACACTAGAAGGGCAAACACGGTCACGTGCCACTATTTCTCAATCTCTTCATAACAACGTTGATAATCCAATGGCTCCAGCACTTTCTCTGCTGTGACAGGGAGCCCCTACTGTCACCCTGGCTGGACACCGTGGGTGGTGCCAGGTGTCCAAGGGCTGGAGAAGCAGCACCTCCTTCCAGCAAACTCCTTCCTCCTTGTTCTCTGCCTCCAGTGGCTGCTGCTGATCACCTGGAACCTCAATCCACAATGCGCCAATCTTTGGGTAAATATTTTTTCCAGGTGATAAGGTTGCGTCCAACAATACCCAGAAAACCAGAGAGAAATGTGGTCTTCTACGCACCCTGGAGAGCACTGATCTGGGCCTATCACTTCATCAGAGTGCCCGCCTCAATGCCAGCCTGGGAGAAAAGGAATCATGACACACACCCTCTTCCCTAAACCAGAGGTAAGGCAAAACCTGGGTGGGAGGGAAGGCCAAGAGTGCAGCGTCCTGGCAACATTAGAGGAGAAAGAATCAACGACGCTGACGGGGTCTGAACCCATGTCACGATCCTCCTCCCTTTACCGTCCGTGGATCTGCCACCCCGCCACCCCCGCCACATCTCAGGCTCTCGGCCACCCCCTCCACGCTGGCCCCTAACCTCCCCGATCACCAACACCGCACCCCAACTCGAAGCGCACTGGGGCCGCACAGCTACCCCGAAGGCTGTCAGGCTTCTCCAAGGCCCTCAGGCCCGACCCATTCCCCCTCCTCGCCCCCGGACGCGCCCCCAGCGGCGCCCGCCCGCCGCCGCCACCCGTCCCTTCCTAAGCCCTCCTCCCGGAAGCCAGGCTCCCCTCAACCTCCACGAAGCAGCCCGACGGCCCGGGTTCCAACGACCTGGACAAGCCAGGTGGCCGCTCCGGGACGCGCTCCCGCACGGGCACCGGCCCCCGGGGGCGCGGCGGAGACGAATTCCCGCCGGCCTGGAGAGCTCCGAGCCCGGCGCCGGCGCTCGGGCCGCGGCGCCCCTGACGGCGTCCTCCTCACAGGACCCGCCCGGCCCCCCTCTTCGAGCCCGTCGGCCCCCTGGCGCCCAGCCCCGCCGGGACGCCCGCCTGGCCTCGCGAGCCCCCGCACCTCCCGTCCGCCGCGGGAACCTCAGCGCGGGCCCGGGGAGCCCCACTCATCGGGGCCGCGGCTGCAGCTGCGGCGGCGCCGAGCCCGAGGCGCGTGACTCGGCCGGGACGTACCATCCGTCCACCCCGCGGGGGGGCGCGGGCTGGCCGAGCGCACCTGTGCACCGCGAAGCGAGAGGGCCTTGCGCAGCCCGCACACCCGAGAAGACCGCGCGAGCCCGGCAACTCCGAACTCTGGCGGGGAACCTGAAGCGGCTGCCCGACACCTGCCTCTTCCGCCGCCCGACTTCCGCGCCTCCCCCCGCCGAGAAGTACGGAATGGTTCCAGCCTCACCGGCAGGGCTCGTGGAGAAAACCATTTCAAGGAGGGGGGGGATACTTAAAATTAAAAAAACATTTAAGAAAGAGACTTGAGGGAAAATATAGCCAACCTAGTACTCCCGGTCCACACCGAGGAGAGAAAGAAACAGAACGTCTCGACGTTATAAAGAGCAGGGCAGTGGCTTATGGTTTCACCGTTGGCTTTGATTAAATTGCCGATGGAACCCGTCTTCTGTGGGACGCGCGGGCAGGGCGCCGGGAGGGGGCCGTCACGTGACGTGGAGCAACCGCGAGTCGCCGTCGGGAGGCTAGGTCTGCAACTGGCCGTGGGGTGCGGCGGAGTGCGCATGTGCGTGGTACCCCGGCCTACCCGAGCAATAGTACGTCCACGGTTTTTAAAAAATATCAGTCAATTGTTAAATAATACATGTTTTTAACACTTGGGCGCCTGTCAGCCTGTCCACTTAAAGATTAATTGTGAAGCCCTCGGCGCATGATGTGACGTGGGCCCTTAGAGGGAAGAACTAGAGGGACTTGAATCACACCCTGGGCCACAGGAAACTCGTTTGAGCTGCGAGACGGTGCTGCCACCTCGCGTCGGGTCGGACCAAAGACCGCTGACCTCGGCTGTGGGCGCTTCACCTCGGGGTCCCGGTGCCTGTGGCTCCCGCAGGGGGTGTCCGGAAGGTGGTCGTCGTCGAGTGTCGGGGGGAAAGCCTCAACCATTAGGAGGGAGAGTTAGCTGGTTGCATTTTTTCCTAAAATCACCGCGATCACGTCTCTGAATTTCCGCATTACACTGAAGAGAGGAAAGAATGAAATTGCAATTTGTTTTCTGTCTTTAGTGGTGTGAAAAAGATTAAGGAGTGTGGGAGTTATGAGGTTAGGCATTGCCTTTGTATGTTTACTTAGTCTTTCCAATCCAATTCTCATGATGTTGGACAGCACAAACATAATATATTGGCTCGTAAGTCACAAGGTAATTTTTGAAGCAAACAACAGAAAACCCGCGACGATGTACTGATTTGGAATTCTGTTTTTTATTTTTGCCGTCAACAATTCAGATATTTGAATTTCACTGAGTTTGCCAAATTCTTTGAAAGCCTTAATGGAAAGGTGCAAGCCTCCTTGTGTGGCTGTGCCTTTACAATTTCTAAGAGAAAACATCATTTCAACATTTGTCAAATGAACAAGATTCACGCTGAAAATAACCACAGCAGCAATGCTAAATACAAATCTGCTTAATTGACTTCCACACTAAGTAATTCACAAAACTTTCCAAAAATTTCAATAACCATGACTATTTTCACTTCACAAGGAGATGAATATATATATTTTTAAATCTACTTGCATATTCTACTGTTTCAATCAAGAAGCCAGGAAGATGTTTTTGTTTCCTTTTGTTTCCCTTTTTCTTTTCCCATTTTGTTTCTTTGCTTTTCTTTTCTTTTTTTTTTTTTTTGGTAAGCCTTTTTTCCCATTTTTTTCTTACTGGTAGCTGTTCTTGAAACTAACATTGGTTAGACAGGTTTTACGCCAAGAAAAAAAATATTTGTTCCCGTCTTGTAACTGGTTTGAGGAATTAATGTCCTCAGTTTCTTAGTGGAGGGCACAACCTTATTTCCATGATGATAGGCTAATGAAGGTCCCAAATGACAGATGGTTTATTCAACCACTGCCATTTTCAATACAACTCAATTGTGCATTTAACTACAGCTGGACTCCATCTATGACATTAAATACCCTTTCCAGCACCACTGGCTTCAGCCACCTCCTCTTTTGGAGGTGCTTTCTCAAACCTATAAATAATCCGTTTAAAAGTTAACAACTGCATGCCAATTCCTTGCATCAGTGAATTGTGCCAAAGGTTAATTACACTGGGTTCTCACACAGTATAAACCTTCAAGGACATTCAATGACAGACATCTTAGAAGTCAGAAATGTAGCCCACATCATCAGTGAGAAAGCAAAACCAGCAAAAACGCCAGTTATTAATATATAAATGTATTATAATAATGCAATTTCAACCAAATGAAATACCATGCTAAACTCAAAGCTTGTATCCTGTAATAAGAATTTTATGAAAAGTTACCAAAAGCATTGTATGTACCACACTGCCTGGCATTTACAGTCCAGAACATGTTTTTTCCACCAGTGAAACGGGCCCAATCAGAATTAAAGATTGCTTGATTCTTTTCTGACTTCCTACTACTAAGCAAGAGGTTTGATTGACTAGGTATTGACAGCTCATCATTCAGACACCCGGAATGCTTCAGGGACACCAGTTGCCAAGACCATGGAGCCAAGGCAAGTCAAGTCTCCTTGGAAAATTCCTCAGAGAGGTTTTTAGATGTGTCTATGTAAGACGTGCAGTCTTACATAGCTGAGGAATACAGATGGGCTTTATCTCTGAGTCAAACCACCATGTCCCTGCATCAGTTTTCAGTTTCAGGAGGGAGAGGTATGTTTCATTTGTGAGCAATTGGATCTAATATATTTAATCACATCTCATTATTTTAAGGGTACTACAGTAGATTCCTGGTTATAAAAATAATAATCTAAGCTTTCCTTTCTTCCATCATCCAAAATAACAGGTGTTTTCTGATGTGTTTAAGTTTGGGGGTCTGTCCGGCTGCTGAAAGATAGCAAATAGTGAGTTCAGGAGGTGGATTTCATGCACAACCTCTAAGTCAGTGTGAAGTTTTAGGTTATTAGACAATTAACTCTGCATGTAAGGTGTCCAGCTAGTTGCAAGGACTATTAGTAGTTTAATATTTTCTCTTAAAGAAAAGCCTCTGGTGGGGTGCCTGGCTGGCTCAGTTAGTAGAACATGTGACTCTTGATCTCGGGATCATGAATTCAAGCCTTATATTGGGTGTGGAGCCTACTTAAAAAAAAAAAAAATAGAAAAGCTTCTAGTGTTAATTTAGTTTGTCTTTTGTTTTTTTAAAAATCATAGCACGTTCAGAAAGCTTTTAAAAATTAGCCCTCTCCTCCCAGTTAGAATTCAACTGAAAGGCTTTTGGTGTTTTAATACGAGTTGCTTGTTAAATATTAAATACCAAGTGCTTTATTCACATCTAATAATAAACTTTACCACATCATATGGATTCAGGCTTGTCAAATGCTTTTTACGTTAAATATTAAATACCAAGTGCTTTCTTCACATCTAATAATAAACTTTACCACGTCATATGGATTCAGGCTTGTCAAATGCCTTTTACAATTAGCAGAAGTTCTCTGGTCTCAACTTCTGATTTCAGGAAAGGATGCAGATAGGATTTTTTTCTTTGTTTACCATCATTAATTCAACTGCCTATAAAGGGTACCACTGATTTTTCCTTTTCACAATAATCTGATTTACCCAGACATTTATTTTCTCTGGGCCTTTTGCAACTGCTCAGACTTATGTGCAAATAATGTTTTCTTCTACAAATTGGTTACCATTTCAAGTTGCACCCCAGAAACTTAGCACTTAGAAAGCCCAAACTGCATCTTTGAAAAGCAAGCAGCAGTGGGGGGGGGGGGGCGGGTAGAGAAAGAATTAGAATACAACTGACCATTGGCATAACTTGAGGAGGGAACTTGAACAAGGTAGGTCCACCAATGAACACCAACAGTTCAGCACCTAAAAACCCAAGACTTGGGTTTCCCCTCTGCCAAATTGTTTGTTAGAAAAGTATTTGTCCCTGATTAGATTACCAGGCATCACTCTGTTATTAAGGCACCTTTTAGAGTACTGTTCTATCACCTAGCTTTGTTTAGGATTTTAATTTACTAAACAAAGGAGGTGCCATCCATACAAGGCAGAAAAATCCCACAAATCCCACTGCTTTATTGCCCATTGGTACCATTCTTGGGCTCAGAAAACATCTCCTACCATTTCAAAAACATGCAACCAGGTATTTCTTTAAATAATACCTTATACTAATATATCCCAAATTGGAGATCATTTGGATCAAGCATACACATTTAAGAAAGTCTATATAAAAAGTTAAACCTAGTCCCTTTGGGTGGTTTACTTTGTACCAGTAGAAATAGAAACATAAATACAGGGGCGCCTGGGTGGCTCAGTTGTTAAGCGTCTGCCTTCAGCTCAGGTCATGATCCCAGGGGCCTGGGATCGAGCCCCGCGTCGGGCTCCCTGCTCGGCGGGAAGCCTGCTTCTCCCTCTCCCACTCCCCCTGCTTGT